AGAGAGAGAGAGAGAGAGAGAGAGAGAAAGCATAGAGTCATGTCGGAAGGAGTAAGGAGGTTCTGGATGGTATAGGCGGAGAAAGTACAATGAAAATATGTTGTATGAAAAAACCTTTAATAACTGAGAACAGCTATGTTTTAAAAGTTCATAGTCCATATGAGGGAAATTAGTACCAGTACCGATGGTTAGATAAATAGACAAGAGGTTAACCTGCCTTCTAAATATTTGTTTATGCTCTTACACTGAAGCTACTCACAACTCTAATAAAAGAAGCTTTTATTTGCAATGGATGGCAGTGAAAGCATAGGCTCATGGCTCCCCAGGCTGCTGAGAATAAGAAGAGGGCGCAGCCCTAAACAAGTAATTTATACTAATCCTTGTAAAGCTCTGAGAATGGTATAGAAGAAGGAATGAAAGGAATGCAAGAGGCAAAAGATAGGGGGAGGGCAGCAAACCCCCATCCCCTAGACTGCGTACTCACAAGCAGTTGAGATCCTCTGTGCTTGGCCTGCACAAGACAATTCTCAACTGTCAGTCATGGACTGGCGACGGGGCTTCAGAGGGCGTACCCCTCACTGCTGAATAGTCACTGTCTTCAGTTGTGTGACCAGGGTGTACTCACCAGACTCCAATGTAGCTCCAGTCCCAAAGTTACACAGGTGGTCCTGGCCAAACTCAGAGGGACACAAACAAAATGAGAACGTGTGAATGGGGGAATGAGGGACTTCGGCCAGAGAAGAGAGAAAGATGGGGAGACGGTAAGAGAGAGAGAGCAATCGGAATCCATTGTATATGTGTATGAAGGTGCCAAAAAACAAACTTAATTAAAAAATAAAATAAATAAGGCTGAGCAGGTCAAATGTTCAGGACACACTGAGATGAAGCGTGTAACTCTAGAAGAAAAGTTGGAATGCCTGTGGACATTGCCCATTAAGGTTAAGCTTTGTCCTTGGCAGAGTGCGGCCTTAGAAAGCATGCCTATTTTGTGAGCAAGCCAGTTGAAGCCAAGTTTTCGTTGTTTTGTTCTGTTTCAAAAGAAGGTTTCAGCAGAAACATCAAAATTGAAATAAAATATATTAATAAAAATATAATTGCCTTATTAATACTGAATCACACAAGGGGATTTTTCATCCTTTCTATTAAGCTTTTGTTTAACATTTTAGTACTAGTCTAAAGCAATTCAAAAAGAATTCTTTGCAACTGCTTGTTTTACAGTGTGGCAGCCTGTCACAAAGACTTTCAAGAATCCCGCATGTGATAAAAACAGCTTTCAACACGTACTTTCTACCCTTCAAGCCAGGATTGTAATTTAATGCTTACATTCTCCTATTATATACTTTTTGCCAATAGATTTTTTTTTTTTCAAATCAGGGCACTTGCTAGCCAAAGCTATTTTTTTTAGTATCATGTGCATTACTATTTGAACTTTTTCCCTAATTGTAAAGCAGCATACAGAGGCTGCCCTACCCAGGGGCAGCACAGGCAACCACAGTTCTAATGGCCAGCTCAGCTCACCTGGGAGCTACTAAAGGACACATCCCATTACACACATTATCAGTGTGTAAGGTCATCTGTACAACACGGCAGCAGTGCAGAAAATCGTGCGTTCACTTCTAGTGTTTCTCTTTTTAGTTTAGTTAGTTAATTAGTTAAGTTAGTTGGTTGGTTTAGTTAGTTGGCTTGCTTGTTTGTTTGCAGGCAAGGCCTTCCTTTGTAGCTTTGGAATCTAGATTTTTCTGCCATAGCCTCCTGAGTGCATTTGCAGGGGCGCACCAGTGCGTCCGGACTCCAGACCTAGTCCATCTATGCACAACTTTCTCCTCCTGCTGGTTTCTTTCTTTCTTTATTGAAGTAAAAAGATGCATATTGAGCTAAACAATAGGCTGTATAGGACTAACTTTTCATAACTCACCTAAAACAAGCATGGACTAGACAAAAGAGAAGCCTGTGAATTGGTCTTCCCGATGCATTGAGCTACTGGGGTTGCATGCTGAGAGTGACCGGTCCAGAAGGTCACTCAGGTCAGGAAAGCTTTGCAAGTTTGATCCAGACCTACATTTTTATCGTCTTAATGGCTACATCTGCTCTGATAACTGTTAGCAACAATTAATAGCTTGGTGGATTGTGCCTGTTAAATTAAGAAAGAAAAAAAGAGAAAGAGATGAAATGAAAGTTAAAAGGATCTGTATTTTACAAACTAGAATATTTAAAAAAAATATCCTGGCCCTTATGTCTTTACCTGAAGAATTAAGTAATTCAGGCCTGCTGTTTTCTCTATAGGTATAATGCAAGGAGAAGCAGTACAAGTTGCTAAGAACCATCCATCTTGTCCACCCACACTCTGAGATCTTTGCCCAATTCTGATGCTTGGGCAGCACCCAGGAATCGGCATTTAAGCAGTCCTTGGACAATCTGGAGTCATCTGTTGAAAGAGTGCTCTAAATAATCTTGATGGTCTAGTCCTGTTAAATCATACTTTTAGTCCAATGATAGGATTCTGTTTTGTTCATTGCAGTATTGTCAGAGGTCTCTGTGAGAAATTCTGTGATCCTGAGCAGCTTCTTTTTCAGCTCTGAGCTTGTGTGTTATAAATGCAAAGGCTTATTCTATCACTTAGAGTCATTTGGCAGCTTCTCTGTAAAAAACTGATAAATGACTGTGTATAAGAAAAGGATGCTGCCTCTCCCTTAGGGGCCCTTCATTCCTTTGGATTTGTTGTTTCTGTGCCCTGCACAGATATTTTTCATGTGAGTGATAGGGTTTTTTGTGTCTATGCTTATCCAGAGCTTTTCTTCAAAGTCAGGTATAAAAGATACTAACCTTGCCCATCACTCTTTGAAATGAAAATAATCCATTACCAAATTCACATACATTTAAAGTGCATCTGTCTCATTGAATTTACTGATCCCAGCTGGGCAAAAATACTTATGCTTATATCTCTCCATCTTATCTTTTATTAGACTCTGATTGTGTATCTCTATTATATCCCAAATAAGAAAAATGTGTTTGTCTTTAAAAAGCAGTCACTAGTTTAATGAATACAACAATGAACAGTTTTTTGAATGATAATAACTCATATCCTTGTAAAATATTCCATCAAAGTACACTTCTTAAACATCTAATATTTTTCCTTTGGCCTGCTAGGTTCTGTGTAGACTTGGTATCATAAAAACACAACGTTTTGCTTGGCCCTTTGTGTTCCTGTGTGGATTTCGTTTTCTATGACTAGGTAAAAGTGTCCTTAAATGTTACATATTTATCATGGCAACAAACCAACCAAAAATACTCAAAGCCAAGAAGACATACATCAGCGTACTCATTGATGTGCTGTATCCAATGAAGACATAGTAAATTGGTTTTTTTTTTCTTTTTAACACTTCAAACTTTTTCCTCTTTCTTTTTTAATATATATGTGTCATGAACAACTAAACAACCACAGACACTAGGACCAAGTTTTAAAAATCAAAAGTAGACCAGTATACAAGGTTAAAGTGATTTGCTTCTCTTCTGTTTGTTCTTATTTCAGATGATGGGAAATTGTCCTTTGAGGAATTTAAAGCCTATTTTGCTGATGGAGTTCTCAGTGGAGAAGAACTACATGAGCTCTTCCACACCATTGACACACACAATACCAAGTAAGAAATACTTATCAGTGAACTCTGTAAATGAGGTGGTGAGAATGTAAAGGGGCCACTCATGAAATGGGGTAAGAGATGTGAGAAGGTTCATTCTGTATTGTTTAGGTCTAAAAAATTCTTTCCTAAAAATTCTGAAGTGTTTAAAAAACCTTCTATATCTTTAAAAAGATAATTTTATATTAGTTTGAATTTGTACCTTCTTTACAGAATATAAAACACAGAGGGCATGACAAATAATTATAGTCTGTCATTAATAAATAAGTAAAATCTTATTGTCTTTGTATAATCTAAGCTTTCTTTGCTTAAAAATATCCTCTTTATTTCAATTAATGTTGAAATAAAATTATTGCAGTTATGAAGACCATATCACTGCTGCCTGAGAGCAGCAGGTAAGATAGTGCTCAGAATAGCTCTGAAGAGTCGACGCATAGGGTGATCGATTAACTCCATTTATTTGGCATGTAGATCTCTCTTTTGGAGAAGGAGAACATTAATGAAGATTCTGTTCATATCCCCCCCATGCTATATATTTGCATATATCAACAGAAATGCACTGCTTGCTTAGGGTTACCGAACCAAATCACATTATTTTCCAGAATTTTAGTATGAAAGAACACGGATTCATACATCCCTGGAGATCTGCCACCATGCCTCCTGCCTGGTCAATCACATTCGGATTTAGGAAAAGTGCTGAAACATGGTCCCAGGCAGTAAGCCAGTCCACCAAGACAGTGCTCTGGGGCTCCAGCTATGAACAGACGTTTCCTTGAGGCTATTTAAAAACTTAAAAGATTAAATTCACTTTACCCTGGTGGTTGAATATTTTCCAAAATAATCAGTAAGTTTCTAGAATTCAACAACATTTTAAACTGTCTTGGCATTGCCTTTGCTTTTGTTGTCAAAACAGTATTAGACTAACTGATAATTTCAGTATAATGTCAAAGGTTCTGTGATTGATGTATTCATAGGACACTTGGGATCACAAAGAAGAGCACTGTAGGTCAGTGTGGCTCAGGTGCTGTTCATAAACTAAGATGTGATGGGAAAGTAGAAACTGCTTAGGGAAAGAAGGGAGGGGAGTGGAGAGAACATTCCAGTCAACAAGAGGCATGGAGAAAATTCTGGAGGTTGGAGGACCAGGAGTCACTTCTGATTGCTAAAGTGTCGACTCTCCAACTAAAAGTGCAGGAGGTTTACAGAGAGGAAAAGTGGTCTGGATGAGAGATCATTTATATTCTGCATATTTGAAAGTATTTCAACTTTGTGCAGGGTAAAGGTAATCTAGTCAAGAACTCTACCAATATCTTGTAGGTCATTGTGCTTCTGTGAGGGAGCAACTAAAATGGTAGAGATGGAGGAAGACTGACTGCAGGTCTTAAAAACCTTAAAAGGATACTGAGGAAGAACATTCATGCATGAAAAGAAGCCTTTGGGAGAGGTGATATAGAGGAGACAGAGGCTCCCTTTGTGGTTGGGGTATACTGTCTGTGGTTAGTGTGCTAACACTCCATCAAGTGTGCTGATTATTTCCTCCTTATTATGTTAAGATTTGGAACATGTATTGAGATTTCTAGTTTTAGAATTTGGTGTCATAAATATTTTTCAGTGATATTGCTAAAGTTAAGGAGAAAGTTTTCACTTGATTTTATTGGTTTGATTTGTCATTTTATTTACATTTTTCATAGTTTTTGTTACTTTGTATACATTTGAACTTATTTAGTATCCAAAACAGGGAAGTGAAAAAATTTATTCAAGTCTGAAGGGAAGTTTATTACTATTGGTTGCTATAATATACATTAGCAACAATAGTGTGTTTTCTGACATACCTATAATCAATTTTAAATTTAAAATATTAGTTGGAGACCTCTGAACTATATTCATGAAATTCCTCCTTAAACCAGGTTGTCAGTGTCAAGCTTTGATCTTTTACAAAGATTAATTCAAGCTTTGACATAGAAATGTCAGAGCTTTATTTTAAGCTAAAAAAAAAATTTATCTTGCACGATCCAAGTTTGTACTATATCTGCCAATTATTTTTTCTTTGCTACTCACTTTCTTAGGGCATATGCTGTCTTCCCAAATACTGATACTAATACTTCCCAAATACAAATGCTAATACAAACATCCCAAACCACTCCAATTTTATCAAGAGCACAGCCTGGCCCACAAGAAACCAATTAATACTGATGGTACAGAACCAAGCAGATTCACTATGTCTACATTTACAGCAGCTTTCTGGGTCCTGTCTTCCCCCAACTCCCCAGTGCCTGGTAGTTGAATATTTACTTTGTCATAAGAAGTAGTCTTTTAGAGGAATTTAATTACAGCTTGTCTCTACAATGCAGCATAATTAAGGTATATTAAGTATTAAAATTAGATAAATTACTTCTTATAGAAAGAATACCCTACTTGAGAGAATTTTTAAAATTAATTTCCAAGCCAACCTATGAACCACTGGCCCTTGTTTTTAAGGAAGGCACCTCACATTCATTGTCCAGCTCTACAGCATAGCCTGAGCTCAGTCCTCAGAAAAATCTCATCCTAAGGTGATTCCCATGTGGCATTCTGCTACTTCTATTATGATAAATGGTTTCTACTCTCTATCACTTTTTAAAATTAATATTTTAAAGTTATAGCTTTCTTACTATGTTTGAATACTCAGAATGTTTTCTTTCTGAATTATTGTTGCATAAAGTGATTCATGAAGTATATAAAAATGATTCTTGAATTATATGGTCTGACAAAAGAGAATATACTGAATTTTTTAAAAGTATTAACAAAGAAAGAGATTATTGAGAGCCTTGACTTCTTTAAAAAATAACTGCGAACAAAGTAATATTTCAAAATAAAAATTTTACCTCCATCTTACTAAAACTTTCACAATCTCAATCTTCATGTTAACTTTCTTCTTCCCAGGAAGAAATGTCTAATCTTTCTTTTTTGAAAAGAAAAAAAAAAAACCTGTTAATCTTCCAAAGATTTCAGTAATTCTTCTTTATTGCAACCCTCCCAGTTCCAGGAAATATTTTCTAGACACACATTTGTTTTCTCAACTTGTAAGACAATAAGACGTAGTCGAAAAAGTATACTCATGATGCTGTTAATATTTAAGTTTAGGAAAAAAGATAAAAACTAAACTGAATAAAATGTAATTAATGTAAAAAATTAAAAATTTAATTAAAAAAAACTAAATCTACAGTTGAATGCTCACAAATGAGTGCCTCTACTCCTATTGGGAAAAAAGAAGACTGGAGGTAAGATTTTTAGGTCAAGAAGAAACTTTCATAGCTCACAGAAAGTACTTTCACTCACTAGAAAGCCAGCATAGCTACATTTTGCAATCAGTTAGTTGAAAACAAGAAAATTTAGGATAAATCCTGAAGTATTAGTCATAGCAGAAGCATGGTAGAAAAATTCCCTGGAGACTTAAAGCAATTCTGGCAGTGAACTGCACTTACCCAGATTGTCAGGGTAGACCAAATGGTAGACCAGATGGAAGCTTTGCTCGTGATGCAGAGTGAACGTATAGAAAAGTATCCCAAGGCTCTCAGAGAGGAGCTCATGACTAGAAACTCATACACTCAGATATAAGAGTCTTTGTTCCAGACTAAAATAGTTTTTCTGGATGCTAAGCACTGATAATTTCAACCCTGTGCTTGTTAACTCACCGACACCACAGTAACATAAATATCTCTAACTGCTACAACGAGGTAGTGCTGGAATTGAAAACATTTGTTCTTGTACTTTCTTGTAAATTGGTTTTTCCCTCTAATTTCCACATAGTCCTCTCCTTAGGGCCATCTAGAATATGAATATTTTATGACATGCCTTTCCAGCATTTGAAAGTAGTTTTTATGCACTAATGATGAGATTAAAATCCCATAATAATTAGAGGATAATTATATCAAAGTATTTGTTTCAGATGGGAGTGTTATGCTCCTTCTGAAATAGAAAAAGTTGTTTATCCTACATTTATCATGACAGTTAATTCCTGAAAATAGGATGAGTTCCTTGATCATGCTACTATCTTCCTTGAGTTATTTATCACACTGCTTAAGAAGACATATGTTGTGAGAAGCAGGAAAAGAAGGTAGGGCCAATATCATGCAGTAAGTACTAGGGCAATCTGACGGCTATGCAGCATAAGTGTGCATGGCATTGTGATTAGCTATTCTAGCTGTGAGGAAGACAGATCTCCTTACTAGCACAGCCTGTTCCTCCTTCAAGTGGAACAGAGAATGTGGGAAGTCAAACCACAAACTTGGTACCTGGAAAAGTAGAGTAGTCCACAACCCCAGATGTTAGTTCCAGTATGGGGTGGCTAAAAGTACACAAGCAAGAACGCCAGAGAACGGGAAGTGGTAAAGCTATATGCCAAAAGAACACATGACCATGAAAGTCCATAACTGAGTGGTCAGTGTGAGCATCCTACGGTTGAGTTTTGCCTGAGAGCCCTGGCAGAACAACACTCATGACCCAAACCGACCAAGAAAAGCAAGCATTAAACACAGGCTTGAGAGCATCTGTTTCTATGCATGATCTGTAGAAACTAAGCAAAGGGTTTTCTCCTTTGTCCAGAATATTTTAAAACAGCAGCATATGTAAGCTTTTTTTTAAGAGACATGGTATTTGGGATGCTTTAGGTGAAGGGGGAGTCAGAGGGTTCTCAAAGCTACAGAGGTAGGGCAAATCAGCTTTAGAACAGGTATTCCACAGTCTCTGCCTTGCTCAAATTGGAAAAAGGTCACAGTGAGGAAAATGATACTATAAAAAGAAGGACTTCATTGCTTTTGAGTGACAGAAACCCAAGTTAAGATGACTTACTGAAATTATACCCTTGCTCTTGTATCAGATGAACCCAGAGGTGACTAAGTATGTGGAATTCAGGTGCTCAAACGATGGTGCCAGTTTTCCTTCTGTCATTGTTTACCTCTCTCTCTCTCTCTCTCTCTCTCTCTCTCTCAGCTTTTTTCTCAGAATGAGTGAGAGGCCAGGAT